TTTGTGATAAACTGCAAGCATCACCAGTTCATGGTGCTCCCATTCGGCCTTTCCAGAGCCCCCCGCATGTTCACCAAGTGCACGGTGGTGGTGGCGGCTTTTTTGCGCAAAAGACAGGTTCAAGTGTACCCGTACCTCGATGATTGGCTGCTGACAGGACGCTCCAAAGAACAGGTGCAGTCCCACGTTACACTGGTCAGGGACACCTTTCACAGCCTGGGGCTCCTTCTCAACATAAGCAAGTTGTCACTCATACCGACCCAAAGGATAGAATTCATAGGGGCGGTCCTGGACTCAGTACAGGCAAAGGCAAGCCTCCCAGAACCCAGGTTACAGGCCATAGAACAAATTGTCAAGACGATATTGTATACCCCATCACAACTGTCAGGGGCTGCCTGAAGTTAATAGGACATATGGCAGCCTATACTTACGTAGTCAAGCATGCCAGACTGAGGCTCAGGCCCCTACAAGCATGGCTTGCATCATGTTACTGCCTGCCACAAGACATCCTGGACATGATAGGAACGGTACCCAGGCAAGTCTTAGAGTCTCTGCGTTGGTGGCTGGACCAACCAGTAGTCTGTGCGGGAATCCCCTTCGCCACAACCCAACCTTCATTGACGCTAGTAACAGACACGTCGGATCTGAGTTGGGGTGCACACCTAGGGGATCTGAGAACACAAGATCTCTGGTCACAGGACGAGATACCCCTCCATATCAATCCGAAGGAGCTCAGAGCGGTTTGTCTGGCCTGTCAAACCTTTCACGCCACTTTGCAAGGTCACAGCGTGACAGTCTTGACAGACAACACCACCGCCATGTTCTACATAAACAAACGGGTGGAGCTCACTCCTCATTCCTCTGCCGCAAGGCTCTTCTCCTCTGGGATTTCTGTATAGCCCGGTCCATACAGCTGGAAGCATCCTACCTCCCTGGGGTAAGGAACAAGCTGGCCGATCGCCTCAGCAGGTCCTTCCAAGCTCATGAGTGGTCAGTCCGATCAGATGTCCTGCAGTCAGTTTTCCAAAAGTGGGGTTATCCCCAAGTCAATCTATTCACTACCAAGGACAACAAACAGTCCCCTCAGTTCTGCTCATTTCAAAACCACAGCCCAGGCTCCATCTCCAACGCGTTCTTAATGCAGTGGGGTGAGGGTCTGAAGTATGCTTTCCCTCCAATCCCGCTGATCCACCGGGTCCTGCTCAAGATATGCAGGGACAGAGCAATGGTGATCCTGCTTGCCTCGATCTGGCCACGTCAGCATTGATACACAACGCTCCTCAAACTATCAGTAGAGGCCCCAATAGCCCTACCCCTGTATCAGGACTTGATCACTCAGGACCACGGGCACATCCTCCACCCAAACCTACAGTCCCTGCACCTCATGGCTTGGAAGTTCCATGGCTAAACTCGATGGAGAGCCAGTGCTCTCAACCAGTGAGATAAATACTTCTTGGCAGCAGGAAACCTTCCACTAGGTGAACTTACTTGGCCAAGTGGAAAAGGTTCTCCTGCTGGTGTGAACCCAGATGTCTGTTACCGCTCCAGGTATCTATCCCAGTTATTCTGGACTACCTGCTTCACCTCAAGTAACAAGGCCTATCACTTTCATCCATCAGAGTACACCTGATGGCTATCTCAGCTTTCCATCCAGGAGAATCTGGGTGCTCGGTGTTTTCAAATCCCATGGTGGTGTGTTTCCTCAAAGGATTGGAGAGGGTGTACCCTTACTCTCGACCACCACTACCAACCTGGAATCTGAACCTGGTCCTCTCCAAGCTCATGAGCCCACCGTTCGAGCCCCTGGCCACTTTTTCCCTCCTCTACCTTTCATGGAAGGTAGCGTTCTTGGTGGCCATTACATCGGCGAGGAGAGTGTCTGAACTAAACGCTCTCACCTCCAAACCCCCTTATATGGTGTTTCATACGGGCAAGGTGCAACTTAGACTGCACCCTAGATTCCTTCCCAAGGTGGTCTCCCAGTTCCACATGGGACAGGACATTTGTCTGCCTGTGCTTTTTCCAAAGCCTCACACGAGCCTGCAGCAGCAGAGTTTGCACATACTAGATGTTTGAAGAGCCCTAGCATTCTACATAGAGCGCACAAGACCTTTTCGCAAATCAACCCAACTGTTCGTGGCCATAGCCGATAGAAAGAAGGGCTTTCCAGAATGTTCTCAGCGCATCTTGTTCTGGATCACAGACTGCATTCACACATGCTATGAGTTGGCTAAGGTTCCAGCTCCACCAATCACAGCCCATTCAATGAGAGTGCAAGCATCTCCGATTGCCTTTCTGATGAAGGTACCCATCCATGAAATTTGCAAAGCAGCTACCTGGTCTTCAGTGCATAGGTTCACAGCCCACTATGCCATCAACCAACAGGCCAGAGATGATGCAGCGATTGGCAGGGCTGTCCTCCACTCAATCATTCCTTGACTCCTACCCACTTCCAATGGTCAGCCTGGAAGTCACTGAATTGGAATGGACATGAACAATCACTCGAAGAAGAAAAGATGGTTACTTCACATCTTGAAGAACAACAGTTACAAGAGGTTTGTTCACGTCCATTACAGTACTTGCCCCCCTTCCCCTCTCTCGGAGTCAACGGCAAGAAGGAACCCAAGGGGGTCGGGCCAGCAGGGTACTATATACAGCGCAATAAGGGAGACACTCTAGGGGGCTTCTCTGCCATCTTGATGGGAGCTGTTAAGGGAAAAAGTTTCTGATGTCCGTGCATGTGACGTGCGCACACCTAATTGGAATGGATGTGAACAGGGCTGGCTCCAGGCACCAGCGAAGGAAGCAGGTGCTTGGGGCGGCCAATACAAAGGGGCGGCATTCTGTCCGGTATCGGGGCGGCACCTCCAGGTCTTTGATTGGAATTCGGTGGCGGATCCCTCAGTCCCTCTCTTCCCCTTTGAGCTGCCGCCAAAGAGGAAGAGAGGGAGTGAAGGACCTGCCACCTAAGAATGGAGCAGCGCGATTGAGCTGCCGCAGAAGTGCCACCAATGGCACTTTTTTTTTTTGCAGCTTGCTGCGGCAGAAAAGCTGGAACTGGCCCTCAACCTGAACAACACATCTTGAAGAACAACAGTTAGGAGAGGTAAGTAACCATCTTTTTCCTGTTGCAGGAGTGAGCTGTAAGGGGCTCTAAGAGCTAGGGTAACCAAACACTAAGTGTGAAAAATAGGGACTTTAATTGGGGGAAGGGGTGTGTGGTATAGTTGCATAAATAAGAGAGCGCTGCTAAGAGTCGGGGTGGGCCTGATAATAGGTGGAGATCTGGTCATCCGCCCAGAAGCCTACAGCCCCCTAGGCAGCAGGGGTTCCGTGGTTGTAGTTGTGTTAGAAACAATTCAAGACTTTCTCGATGCCTGAAGCTTCACAGCTGGGCGAGTTCATTAGAGGCCGTTTCCCACCTGTAAGGCGGGGGAGCAATGCCCGGTGAGCGGGCCCGAGTCACCCAGTGGCATCTCCCCGAAGCGCGTCCCCCGGGCTCAGCCGAGCGAGCGGTTGCCTGGGGTTTGGCAGCGGCTAGCGGGGGGGGGGCTAAGAGACACGGGGGGGCAGACGGACACCAGGCGGGGGCGCACCCCGCCGACGAGCTCAGCCCCGCACAGGGCTCTCCCGCCGGCCGCTCTCGGTGCCCCGGGGCGGGCGGCGGCGGCGGCTGTAGCGCCCCTACCGCCCGCCTCCGCCTTCCTCCTTAGTTCCAACCGGTTCGGACCGGCCCGGGGTCCGGCCCCGCGCGCAGCAGCGGCCCCTGCCCTGAATGCGCCGGCAGCCGCTCGCCCACGGCCATAAATAGGCGGCGGCGGCCCCGCTGTCACAGCCGGTGCCGGGCTGCGCCGCGTCCCCGATGCGCTGCTGGCTGCACCCAGCGGGGCTGCAGGTAACGCGGGTGGGGCCGGTGCCCGAGGCAGCGGCGATGGCGGCCCGGGGCTTGCAGAGCCTCGCTGCGGGCTGTGCGGCGGGAGCCTCGCGCGCTCCCGGGCAGCCCATGGAGGGGGTGACGGGTCCGCTCCGCGAGTCCCTGCAGCAAGCCCCGGGTCGGGGCCGCAGCCCCTGTCCGAGCGCGCGCCCACCCCTGCCTCGGAGCCAGCCCGCCCAGGCCGGGCACAGATGCCCCAGCCGCACTGACTTCTTCTGTCTGCCCCAGCGGAGCCCCGCTGGGTGACTCCTTGTACTGCCAACATTTACAGGGCAAGGGGTGGCTGAGGGCGGCCGCCCCGTGCTCGGTTCATCTCGGGTAGCATGTGAGTGTCAGAGCCCGGCGTGCACTAGCCGGAGTGCTGCTGGTTGGCCGACAAGAGACAGAGAAAGAGCCGAAACTCCGGATGCCCTCGAGTTTGGGGGGTTGAGATGAGGCGATGACAGCGCTTGTTGAGGTAGTGTTTTGGATTTAAGTTAAATGCAGACATAAGGAGTCTGTCTTTGCACAGTTGATCGGGTGTAAACTTCTCTTCTATTGGCTTTTACTAGTATAATCTGAGGGGCTTTTGTGCAGTAAAAGTATGCCCTAAATAGGGAAAGCAGTAGTCACTAGTAGTTAGAAGAAGGAATTTAAGATTCAGGATCCCTGGATTCTGTTGCTGGTTCTGCCCCCAGCTTGGTGTTTGACTTTGGGTAAAGCATTTCCTAGCATAGTGCCTCAGTTTATCCTACTTATAGGACTGACGTTTCTGATATGTTTTTATAATGTCTTGCATATAGTGTGTAGAGGCCAGCCCAGTCCAGGCCCTACTGCAATAGAGATTTTCCATAATCTGTAATAAAACTAGGTTTAATTCTTCCCTTGCATGGGAGGCTATGAGACTTCATTAAAGTTTCTGAAGCATTGCTAAGCATTCTAATGCAAGAAGCTACAAAAGTGTAGACTATTATTATTATTTTTATTTTTATATATTTTCTTATTTCTAGGTAGCATATATTAGTACAGTAATAGTATGGTATTTTTACTGTACACTGACATGTTACTGCCCTAAATCAGCATGATAAAGAATTTGTACCTGTGTTAGATTTGGAGTAATAATGTGTTTAGCAATTTCACAATTGCTTCTGCTTGGATAGTGATGGCTGAAAATAGAAAGCATTATGTTTTACAAAACTTGTGCAGCAAAAAATCCAATTCATTTCAATATCTTTCAACACTCTGTAGGGGAACCAAGAGCACAGGGAGTGTCTAGTTTCTGTTTATCCTTGAATGGGACAGACTGAACTGAACAACAACATTTTCTTCCAAGATGTCACACTAGGGATGTAACATCCCGAACAGGTAGACAAGAAGAATCTGGGAACTAAGCAATCTGAGAGGAGACTTGCTTTAATGATCTCTAGGTGTGTCTCTCTTTGTGTAAACATTTATCATCCAAAATTGGATTTGGGGTAGGTCATGTAATTTTGCTCTCTATACCAGCAAGGAGGAAGATTTGTATTGGGGGAGGAAGACCATGAGAATCGGTGGCTATAAAACATTGCATCAATTAATAGAAAAGCACAGGTCTCTGACAGGTCCCACTTGTTGAGAGAACCAACAACAGAAGGAACAGATATGGATTCTGATATGTAAGGCTACAGCTGTCAGCTTTTGACCTTTGCAACTGACATCTACTATTAAAGGAAGTCAAAGGACCATTCTTAATACATATGGTTTCAAAAAATTATTTTTAATAGTAGCCTGTTTCTGACTGTTAATTATTTTCACTTTTTTTGGTGGAGTGATCAGAATTTGAAAACAGTTATAATTGGTTATACTTAGCAGACTGATGTATCTGAGGTCAGCTCATCTAAGAACATGTTGATGCTTCTTTATGTGGATGTAGTTTGTGCAAGAAAATTATTATATGGTAATTGGAGTAAAAATCCTTGATTCATTTGGTGATAATTTTCTTTTACAGAAAAATATAGTGGAAGAAACTATTTACTTTTTCTTGAACCTCAGAGGTTACTTATCAAAGGGAAAGCAGAGAGAGAGTGGAGGGGGTAAGTACAGAAAAGAGAAATTGAGGGGAAATAGTGAAATTTATGGAAGTTTAAATTTAAAAATTGTAAGCTGGAGTGAAGGTAGAAAGTGCATATGAGTAACTTTAAAGTAAAAACTACAAAAATGTTGTCATTAAGGAATAATTTGAAATTCAGAGTTATAATAAAACTTCAGAGAAACTTCTACCATTTGAAAGTATGAAAATGTACAGCTAAGGTACTCGTATTCTCTTAACTCTGTACCAATGCCCTGCGAACATGGAATGATTTAGTTTTAATCATGAACTTGTTATGCTGACCTCTGCTTCCTTTGCAGCCATATGCTGTCAACAGAAAATAATGTACTTTACAAATTCGTAGCTAGACAAATAGTAAATTGAAGGTTTTTATTCCCTTGATTAAGATGCTATGTTCCACATACAGGCATCCTTGTGCTTAGAGTTAATGTACCTACCATATGCACACTTACCATAGGCCAAGTTCATTCATATATATTTATATAGCTAGATAAAAGCACTGGATTAAATGAAGTTAGCATTGTGATGAGGCAAATTACAAAACCAGTCCTCTGTGTTGCTCATTTTCAATATTGCACTTTAAACCTCTGCTAACTTGGTTTTGTCTCCAAATGTAAGATGTCACAACAGCAAACTGTAGATTTCATAAAGCTTTTATGAAACATTTTCTCCTTTGGGTCTCTTCTGTGGCTGTTAAAATTTATGATTACCAGGTTAATGTTTTACATAATGGGAAATTCTGATGCTAATTCCTCTAAATGTAAAGTTTAAGATACAGTAGTTTAAGCACTTTAATTGTGTATTTCCATACTTTTCAAGTGATTGGATTTCTTTTAAATCCACTGTTTTTTTTAGTTTCTAATGCAGGGGTGGGCAAACTTTTTGGCCTGAGGGCTGCATTGTGTTTCAGAAATTGTATGGAGGGCCGGTTAGGGGAGGCTGTGCCTCACCAAACAGCCAGGCGTGGTCCGGCCCCTGCCCCCTATCTCCCTCCATCCTCCCTCCCTGCTTCTTGCCCCCCGATGCCCCCCCTGGGACTCCTGCCCCATCCAACCCCCCCATTCCCTGATGGCCTCCCCGGGACCCGTCCAACCCCCCTGCTCCTTGTCCCCTGACTGCCCCCGCCACCCCATCCAACCCCCCTCTCCTTCCTGACTGCCCCCTGGGACCCCTGCACCCATTCAAACCTGCCCTCTGACTGCCCCAACCCCTATCCACACCCCTGCCCCCTGACCACCACCCCGAACTCCCCTGTCCTCTATCCAACCCCACCTGGTCCCTGCCCCCTTACCGCGCTGCCTGGAGCACTGGTGGCTGGAGGCGCTACAGCCATGCCGCCCGGTTGGAGCCAGCCACGCCACCACGCAGCACAGAGCACGGGGTCAGGCCGCGGCGCTGCACCTGCGCTGCCCGGCCGCCCAGAGCATTGCGCCGGCGGCACGGCGCGCTGAGTCTGCGGGGGAGGGGGAAGAGCAGGGGAGGGGCCAGGAGCTCAGGGGCTGGGCAGGAGGGTCCTGCAGGCTGTAGTTTGCTCACCTCTGTTCTAATGGCTTTTTGATGATTGCACTGTTCTTTTATCCTTAAATTACTGAGATGTATTTCTAACATTAATTCCATCTTAATAACGTTTTTAATCTATGAATTTTCTTTTTGTGTATATTACACACATTTAAAAAAATGCTTTTATACCTTGGGAGACGGGGAGCAGGATAGCCTACAGGGTCCTAACATCTGCAGATGACTGATATTCAGGCAGCTAGGGAACCAGGGAACCCTCTGGAGCTTAATTTTGTGTGGTCTTTTTTGCTTCCCAGCCAGGCTCCATGACTTGGTTCCTCAGCATTTCACTACTCAAACAGACTCCATACTTTGACTCTTATATTGATTCTCTGCAGATCTGCTTATTATGCCTGCTGAAACAATGGGCCTGATACAAACTCTAGGAATGCTTTAGCAGCAGCTGCATACTTAAAACAAACCAACAACAACCACACAAAAAAAAAAAGCAGCAGGGAGACAAGTCTAGAACTGCTGTGGAAATCAAGCTAGAGAATGAATAACTCAAGGAAGCTGACTAGGGAGCCAGAATGACGGCAGGATCTGCCAGCGTTTGGTGACTCCTGTAGAGCTTGGAAACATTTCAGGCACTCTGAGCTGATGATAGGGGAGAGAGAAGCCAAGGTGAGTTTAGGAGCTCTATAGGTCTACAGGAGTCACTAGGGAAATAGGAGTCCATCTGCCTGTTATGGTTTATGCCAGGGGTCGGCAACCTTTCAGAAGTGGTGTGCCGAGTCTTCATTTATTCACTCTAATTTAAGGTTTTGCGTGCCAGTAATACATTTTAACGTTTTTAGAAGGTCTCTTTCTATAAGTCTATAATATATAACTAAACTCTTGTTGTATGTAAAGTAAATAAGGTTTTTAAAATGTTTAAGTAACTTCATTTAAAATTAAATTAAAATGCAGAGCTCCCCAGACTGGTGGCCAGGACCTGGGCAGTGTGAGTGTCACTGAAAATCAGCTCATGTGCCGGCTTTTGTGCCATAGGTTGCTTACCCCTGGTTTATGCTGATACTCTGTCTCTTTTGGCTGTTGCCTTCCTGCTTCCCATATGTACATATGGTAATACATTGTAATCTCAAAGCATCCTTGTATTGCATAGACAGCAGAATTTTTGTAATGGTTAGGGCCCTACCAAATTCACAGTCCATTTTGGTCAATTTCATGATCATAGGATTTAAAAAATCATAAATTTCATGATTTCAGCTATTTAAATCTGGAATCTCATGGTGCTGTAATTGTAGGGGTCCTGACCCAAAAAGGAGTTGTGTGGGGGTCACAAGGTTATTGTAGGAGGTGTTGTGGTATTGCTATCCTTACTTCTGAGCTGCTGCTAGTGGCAGCGCTGCCTTCAGAGCTGGGCAGCTGGAGAGCGGCAGCTGCGGGCTGGGCCTGGAATCCCAGCTCTGAAGGCAGAGCCACTGCTAGCAGCAGCGCAGAAGTAAGGATGGCATGGTATGGTTTTGCCACCCTTACTTCTGCACTGCTGCCTTCAGAGCTGGGTGACCAGATAGTGGCAGCCGCTGACTGAGAGCCCTGCTCTGAAGGCAGCAGTGCAGAAGTAAGGCTCGCATGGTATGGTATTGCCACCATTATTTTTGCAGTGCTGCTGGTGGGGTGCTGCCTTCAGAGCTGGTCGCCCGGCCAAGAGCTGCCAGTCTCCGGCTGCCCAGCTCTGAAGGCAGCATAGAAGTAAGGATGGCAATACTGCCCCCCCTAAAATAACCTTGTGCCCCCCCCCACAACTCCCTTTTGGGTCAGGACCCCCAATTTGAGAAACACTGGTCTCCCCTGTGAAATCTGTATACTATTGGATAAAAGCACACAAAAGACCAGATTTCATGGGGGGAGACCAGATTTCACAATCCGTGACGCGTTTTTCATGGCCGTGAATTTGGTAGGGCCCTAGTAATGGTATTCATGGAAGTCATAACTTCCATGATTTCTAAGTCTTTTTCTGAGGTCCCATTATTTAAGCGTTTCCTGTCCCCTTTTTCTAGGGTCCATTATCTTTTCCCTGTCTTGGCTCAAGACATGTCATTGACCCTCCTATGTGTGGCTGTGAAAATTCTACTACTTGTCCTTGCTTGTGGTGTGTGTTTGTATATTCTGCATGGGGCTGGGGCTGAAGACAAATAGCAACAAAATCTTTAGGGCCTCCCATGCAGGTGGAGGCAGCAGATCTCCAGACAAGGAGGTACTGGTGAAGATTCTGCTCTCACTGGCGTCTTCTATGCATGATTCTAAATATTACATTACAGCATGCCCTGTTCAGGGAAGCATTGGAGATTCTATCAGCAAAGAAGTACAACAGCTTCCATGTCTGATTTTGAGAGAACCTCAGTGAGACCAGACTGCTGCCAGGGACATGGAAGTGATGGACAGTCACTTCCTCTTCCCGCCAGTGCTGTTGCCAAGTATGGCACAGGGGGTTCTTATTACTGGAATCTTTCCAGCACACAGAAATGTTTTCAGGAGATACATTCCTGTCAATGGGACTTTATTTCCTCAAGGAAGAGTGAAGGGAACCTTTGCTGGCTTAGGTTTCTCCTGACAGCACAGAAGGCAGGAGTAGGTATCTGAGGACACTGCACTGAGAATGAAAATTCCATTGTTGCTGTCCCCATCTATACAATGTGATGACTGGAGAAGATACCAGCAACTGGTAATTGAGGTAAAGATCTGGCTGTCAGTGGCTGGGGTGTAACGGGTAAGAGTGCAGCTTGTGAGAATGGCAAGGAAGAGTTTTGTTTTCAAAGTAATCACTGACAAACTTCCTGCTAATATGTTTAGACTTTGAAGGCTGTTTTTTTTCCCCCCCAAGGAAAAGGACCAAAGACTTAATTAAAAAAAATAGGTGTCTGTGTGTCATTTGGCATTCATTAAAAGTCTGCTGGAGCCCAATGAAACATTCTGATTCCAATTCAACCATGAGTAACTTCTCAAGTATGGCTGCACACTCGTTAAAGTTAGTCCTGTGCTCTTGATCTCAGCAAGACCTTTCAAATAAATTACATTTGAAGTTTCTTGAACAAGCTGTTTTTTTAAAGTTTGGCAGTTACATCTAACATCTCTTTTTTTTTCTAAGATCTCTATCTCAAAAATGGTGTGTCCAGATTACCTCAAATCAGATACCAAAAAAATCTGTTGCGTAGAAAACACAAAATTTAAAGTAGAAATGACTCAAGTATTTTAGTATGAGGACAAAATCAGGCTTATCAATGGAAATTTTCAGCTTGTGACTATGGCATAATAAAGTTTGCTAGAGGCTTTGATTGTGCTTGGTAAAAATAGTAAATCAATATAATATCTTTGTCTTATTAGTAAAGAAAATCTGATATGTAAATGGAACTATTATGTAAATGATAGGATGTACGCTTTCACGGATATCAGTTTATAGGATTTAATGTTAATTGCAATGTAAAAGATATGTTTAGGAAAAAGAATAATGTGCCTATATTAAGTACCTTTAATTTTAATTACCAAAATAAAGCAAAAAATATCTTCACAGTGCAAAGTAAGTGTTTCCAAAGTGTATCAAGCTAAATTGTCAGCTGGTATAAATTGGCATAGTTGCATTGAAGTCACTGGAGTTATGCAGATTTAGTCCAGATGAGTATCTAATCCAGATTTTTAATCTCCCCACCCCCCCATTTTCAATTAGAGCATGACAAAATATTTGTGACCAAGACATTTTTTTTCTTTAATGTCTGGAACAAGAACAACTGATTTAAACAATTTTTGCTGAGCCTGTATGCCAAGTTTCTGAGCTTCAACACAATAGAAATTAAAGGCTTGACGCTGCAGCTAAAATGTAGAGAAAAATATTCATCATAGAAAAATATTTTGTGGCATGAATTGTTAGAGAACATAGCAGAATAAATATTTTAACCATATTTTAAGTGCAATCACCACTTTTAGTATTTTATTAGTTTTCTGAGAACTTCCCTGTTTTGTTTGTGTCTGCAAAGTAGTCTTTCTTGAAAATATTGCAATATGCACCACTTTCATAGAATATCAGGGTTGGAAGGACCTCAGGAGGTCATCTAGTCCAACCCCCTGCTCAAAGCAGGACCAATTCCCAACTAAATCATCCCAGCCAGGGCTTTGTCAAGCCTGACCTTAAAAACCTCCAAGGAAGGAGATTCCACCACCTCCCTAGGTAACCCATTCCAGTGCTTCACCACCCTCCTAGTGAAAAAGTTTTTCCTAATATCCAACCTAAACCTCCCCCACTGCAACTTGAGACCATTACTCCTTGTTCTGACATCTGCTACCACTGAGAACAGTCTAGATCCATCCTCTTTGGAACCCTCTTTCAGATAGTTGAAAGCAGCTATCAAATCCCCCCTCATTCTTCTCTTCTGCAGACTAAACAATCCCCGTTCCCTCAGCCTCTCCTCATGATTGGGGGGGCTGGAGCACATGACTTATTTTTGTTGCCCTCCGCTGGACTCTTTCCAATTTTTCCACATCCTTCTTGTAGTGTGGGGCCCAAAACTGGACACAGTACTCCAGGTGAGGCCTCACCAATGTCAAATAGAGGGGAATGATCACGTCCCTCGATCTGCTGTATACAGCCCAAAATGCCATTAGCCTTCTTGGCAACAAGGGCACATTGTGGATTCATATCCAGCTTCTCGTCCACTGTACCCCCTAGGTCCTTTTCTGCAGAGCTGCTTCGGTCCCTAGTCTGTAGCAGTGCATGGGATTCTTCCGTCCTAAGTGCAGGACTCTGCACTTGTCCTTGTTGAACCTCATCAGGTTTCTTTTGGCCCAATCCTCTAATTTGTCTAGGTCCCTCTGTATCCTATCTCTACCCTCCAGCGTATCTACCACTCCTCCCAGTTTAGTGTCATCTGCAAACTTTCTGAGAGTGCAGTCCACGCCATCCTCCAGATCATGAATGAAGATATTGAACAAAACCGGCCCCAGGACCCACTCTTGGGGCACTCCGCTTGAAAACAGCTATCAACTAGACATGGAGCCGTTGATCACTACCCATTGAGCCTGACGATCTAGCCAGCTTTCTATCCACCTTATAGTCCATTCATCCAGCCCATACTTCTTTAACTTGCTGGCAAGAATACTGTGCGAGACCGTATCAAAAACTTTGCTAAAGTCAAGGAATAACACATCCACTGCTTTCCCCTCATCCACAGAGCCAGTTATCTCCTCATAGAAGGCAATTAGGTTAGTCAGGCATGACTTGCCCTTCGTGAATCCATGCTGACTGTTCCTGATCACTTTCCTCTCCTCTAAGTGCTTCAGAATTGATTCCTTGAGGACCTGCTCCATGATTTTTCCAGGGACTGAGGTGATGCTGACTGGCATGTAGTTCCCCGGATCCTCCTCCTTCCCTTTTTAAAAGATGGGCACTACATTAGCCTTTTTCCAGTCATCCGGGACCTCCCCTGATTGCCATGAGTTTTCAAAGATAATGGCCAATGGCTCTGCAATTACATCTGCCAACTCCTTTAGCACCCTCGGATGCAGCGCATCCAGCCCCATGGACTTGTGCTCGTCCAGTTTTTCTAAATAGTCCCGAACCACTTCTTTCTCCACAGAGGGCTGGTCACCTCCTCCCCATACTGTGCTGCCCAGTGCAGCAGTCTGGGAGCTGACCTTGTTTGTGAAGACCGAGACAAAAAAAGCATTGAGTACATTAGCTTTTTCCACATCCTCGATCACTAGGTTGCCTCCCTCATTCAGTAAGGGGCCCACACTTTCCTTGACTTTCTTCTTGTTGCTAACATACCTGAAGAAACCCTTCTTGTTACTCTTAACATCTCTTGCTAGCTGCAACTCCAAGTGTGATTTGGCCTTCCTGATTTCACTCCTGCATGCCTGAGCAATATTTTTATACCCCTCCCTGGTCATTTTTCCAATCTTCCACTTCTTGTAAGCTTTTTTTGCGTTTAAGATCAGCAAGGATTTCACTGTTAAGCCAAGCTGGTCGCCTGCCATATTTACTGTTCTTTCTACACATTGGGATGTTTTTTTCCTGCAACCTCAATAAGTATTCTTTAAAATACAGCCAGCTCTCCTGGACTCCTTTCCCTCTCATGTTATTCTCCCAGGGGATCCTGCCCATCAGTTCCCTGAGGGAGTCAAAGTCTGCTTTTCTGAAATCCTGGGTCCGTATTCTGCTGGTCTCCTTTCTTCCCTGTGTCAGGATCCTGAACTCGACCATCTCATGGTCACTGCCTCCAAGGTTCCCATCCACTTTCGCTTCCCCTATTAATTCTTCCCGGTTTGTGAGCAGCAGGTCTAGAAGAGCTCTGCCCCTAGCTGGTTCCTCCAGCACTTGCACCAGGAAGTTGTCCCCTACACTTTCCAAAAACTTCCTGAATTGTCTGTGCACTGCTGTATTGCTCTCCCAGCAGATATCAGGGTGATTAAAGTCTCCCATGAGAACCAGGGCCTGCAATCTAGTAACTTTTGCTAGTTGCCGGAAGAAAACCTGTCCACCTCATCCCCCTGATCTGGTGGTCTATAGCAGACTCCGACCATGACATCACCCTTGTTGCTCACACTTCTAAACTTAATCCAGAGTCTCTCAGGTTTTTCTGCAGATTTTCATACTGGAGCTCTGAGCAGTCATACTCATTTCTTACATACAGTGCAACTCCCCCACCTTTTCTGCCCTGCCTGTCCTTCCTGAACAGTTTATATCTATTCATGTTGAGCACAAAAATGCAAATCATAGATGGTATTTTAATACAAGAAGAATTCTGCAAACCCTTCAGTAGTTGTGTGTGTAATCTTTGGCAGAAATGAGAAGGTACCATTTTATATAGTTTGAAGGGTTCTGACTACAGAAAATGTGTCTATTTTTAAATGCTGTTGATCAAAACTGCAATTATATGATAACACATCTGCATACAAATAATACAGAGTTGATAGCAGCTAACACATCAAGAGACACTTACTAACAATAAATTATGAGAGAAACTTAGAAAATAAAAAGAAAAAAGCCCTTGATTTATAACTGATAGTAATATATTCTTAAGACAGTCTGTCGTCTTATAACCCTGTAAATCATTTCTAAAGAGCCCTAGAGTGGTCAAAGTTTGTTTTATGTTTGTAGGCCTGTATTTTTCTCTTCTTGGGTCCAAGGTTGCTGTCAGCCCCTAATTGATCAAGAGAGGGTCAGTATTTCTCCACTCTAATAAGTTTTGAAGTTCCTAGTAGTGTTTTTTAAAAAAAGGATCAAGCCTTCACCAAGAGATCAGACTTTCATATTTGTTTTACTATGCTAGCTGTCGGCTGTTTGTGCTGAAGAACTTTTTATTTAATATTTTCCCCACAGGTAGAATTACCAAGTGGAACTGGAGTAATATATTCTAGAAGGTTGAAGGAGTCTAGACCATCTTCTGTAAGTGTACTTCTTAAATCAATTGCATCTCTATTCCCACCATTTTCCATGTCTCAGTAATGAACATCTGTAAAAATGATATTGACTTTTTGTCTTGTGAGCTTTCCATAATGTATTTCTTAATTGAATTTTCACTTAAGAGGTATGCAATTCTGAGCATTTAAATTTTGTCTGTCTATTATTTTTGTAAAATATCTTTGAATTTTAATGGAGAAGAAAAAGTATATATTCCCTATGTTGCTTGATTTGCAGACATGCTCTAAGTTACTTCTCTGCTGCTGTTTTTGTTTCTCACTATAGCACTATCACAGCACCTTCTTCCCAGTGATTTAAACTTAATACCCAGTTCTACTTAGACAGTTTGCACATAGATCTGAAATCACTTTACAAAGGAGGTCAGTATCATTATGACCATTTTACAATAGGGAAACTGAAGCACAGACTAGCGAAGTGACTTGCCCAAGGTCACGTGTGGAAGGATTAGAAGCTGGGCTTCCTGCATACCAGTCCTGTGTACTATCCACTGGGACACATTACTTCTCCTAGTCACCTCTGTAGTGATTTATCTGTTGACTCTTCATGACTCTAAAATAGCTTGGCCTGGAAACTCTGAATTTTATACTTGTTGGTCTAGGGAAGGACGGATTGTGCTTTTGGTCAGCTGTGGGCAATCCGTTACTAAAAGGAGTTTTTCTACATTAGGAATCTCACAGGGCTGCTAAATGTATAGTTAGCTGTCTGGAGTTCAGGAAGCCCATACAAGTCAGATATACCCTTCCCAAAATACTCATTAGTGATGTGCATCTTAAGACCTCTGCATAGTGTGGCAGCTCTGATGGAGGTCTTAGGAACAGGGCCGGCGCTTCCATTTAGGCGACCTAGGCAGTCGCCTAGGGCACCAGGATTTGGGAGGGGGGGCGGCATTTTGCCACCCTCGGCGGCAATTCGGCGGCGGGGGGTCCTTCCGTGCTCCGGGTCTTTGGC